ACCTTTGCAGTAGTTAGAACTTACAATGTTGCAACACTTTTTATTTTTTTTCTTTCATAATTCCCAATTGCCGTTCATTTAGATTCAAGTCTTGAGCATATAATATGAGGTTCCATCAGGGGAGTTCTGAAGATAGTAGAGGATTTTTTTCCTCCAGACTTGCTTTACAATTCTGTTTTATTTTATTTCCAGCTTCAGAATTTTAAAAATTATCTTTAAAAAATTGTTGTCAGTATGTAGTAGGTATATATGTTTATGGGGTACATGAAATATTTAGGTTATTTCTTCTTTTTCAGACACTGACCTGCAATCTTTCACAACATCCTAAAACATTTATCAAAAGCCAGAACTGAACTGATTTGACCTGGTCATAAAAGATGTGCATTTATATCATTTATCAAAAAAAAAAAAAAACTTTTCCCAAAATAACTCTTTTGTACTAAAAGCAACAATGAAATACTTGCTCATCTACTTGTTATGAAAACCATGCTATTTCCTCACATTATCCATTTGGTATTAATCAATCCATCATTTTCTATTTGGTATAGAAACCAAAATAAGATATGTAATTCTAACATGTTTTTTATGAGAGCTGAAATTTTAATAACACGGTAAAATTGGAATGCCCTAGAGTGCTCGGGTTTGCCAATCTTGACTTTTATTTCCATTATTATTGTTCATACTAATTCTTACTTCCCTCTTGTATTGATTTCGTTTTCTGAAGAAATTAGCAGGCCCATCTAATGAAGAGATTCGCTTCATTAGAGAGTTTATTCTCTTCATATAGCAACTAGTTTTATTGTTTGACCTATTAAGTCAGTCATTTACTAATAATTTGTATCATGAGGGATACAAATATTAAGTATGTTTCTATCCTGTCAGTAAATCACTAGGGAGATAAATGAATTCGATTCACATTTTTATCCTCAAACACCTTTCCTCTGTCCCTCCTTCTCCTTTCACTTCTCCTCCTTTTACTCCTCTTTCTGCATTAACTACCTTACTCTGTCAACCCAGTTTACACTTAAATACACTGAAAAATGAACCTTCAGTTCTATATTAATATCTAATACTTGTTCAGTATGGATGCTGAAATATTAATTTATAATAGTAATAGCCATTTACAATCAACAAATCAATCATCAATGGGAAACTAAGGGTTTGTGGTGGTTGGCTGTTTTAAAATCAACTCTTCTATGATATACTTTGGATTATGCCCAGTATACAGGAGGTATTCAACAAGTGGTTGCTGAAAGAATGTCAACCTCTCCAAATTTCAGAAATATAATGGTACATCTGCTGCTTCTCCCCAAATTGGCATACCACTATTTCCTCATCACAAATCTGTTTTGGTTATTTCCAGGAAATCTATTCAGAATAGTTGAAAGTTGATTGTTTGACAATTAACTCAAGCATTTTTCCTGAGTCCAGGGTGCATGGAATAGTATTAACTACTCAACTGAGTTATAAAAAATGTCTTTTCTTGGGAGGCCGAGCCGGCGGATCACGAGGTCAGGAGATGGAGACCATCCTGGCTAACACGGTGAAACCCCGTCTCTACTAAAAATACAAAAAATGAGCCTGGCCTGGTGGCGGACGCCTGTAGTCCCAGCTTCTCAGGAGGCTGAGGCAGGAGACTGGCGTGAACCCGGGAGGTGGAGCTTGCAATGAGCCGAGATCGCGCCACTGCACTCCAGCCTGGGTGACAGAGCGAGACTCCATTTCACCAAAAAAAAAAAAAAAATAAAAAATAAAATTCTTTTCTAACATTTGGTACCTCTTTTGCATGGATTATGAAATATAATGCCTAGTGATTGTGAAATGAGATTTCCAGCCCTCATATTTCATATCAACAAAGTCTTCTTATTTGAATTCACTTACATATTTTAATATTCTGGGTGAATTTTCTTTCATGTTGTAATTTCAGCTTATGGCTGCACTGGCTTTGGTAGTTTATAGTTAACTGCTCAGACTGAACATAATCAATCAGTTGATTGACTGTTTCACAATTTCAAAGGCCCCGTTATTATTTGTGAGATCAAAGGAAAATACAAGAAAGAGCTAGCTGAGGATTATATATATATATTTTTTCAATTTCAACCACATTTTCCCATTTAGGTGGTAATTTTTGCTTCCTAGCTAGGATTTCTATTATCAGTTATAGAAATAAATAAACACCATTCCATTTACACTTCTTAGAAATATTCAGCAGTACAGTTTTTTTTTTAAAAATCTCCATATAAAAAGCACATTATGAAATATTGAAATTTCATAATTTTTTTCACATACACATTTTTTAATGAGAAAATTTTATAATATGGTAAAGATTCACGGAAATCATGTAGTCTAAATCTTTAATTTTAATAAAATATTTAAAGCATATAAACAATTTATATAGTAATATTGTAGACACCTGTGTACTCAAGATTCAGGCTGATAAATAGAGCACTATAGATACAGTTGAAGCTTCTGGTGATGCCTTTCCAATTTCATTTACTTGGCACCCTCCCCACAGTAACCTCTACCCTGAATACCATGTTTATAATTATCATGCCTGCTGATATAGTTTGCTCTATAAGTGTATCTGATCAAATACAATAGATGTAATTATTTTGCATGTTTTTGAATTTTACATACAAATAGCATCATTCTATAAACATCTTTCCACGACATCCTTTGTTGTTGTTGTTGTTGCTCCACGTTATATTTTTTGAGATTAATTTATATCAACTCAAGGAGCTAAGGTCATATTCATTTTTCTTGTTACCGTTTCTGCTATTGCAGTATATGAATATTCTATAAATATTTTGTCCAGTTATTTATCTAAAGGTGTTTAGATGATTTCTCCCTCCTACTGTTTTTTTCTGCTTCAAATAATTCTGGAATGAATAGTTCTAGGAGTGGAAAAACTGGATTATAGGATATAAGAATGTTCAACTATTGATAAACTGCTCTCTGAACTTGTACTATCATATACTCTCCATAATTTCTTCATTTTCATCAATATTAAGTTTTGCTGGACTTGTGAATTTCTGCCAATTTCATGACTGGGAAACAAAAATTTCATTATTTTGAATTTCATTTCTCTAATAACTAGGGAGACTGAGGACCTTTTTCAGATGCTTATTGGACATTGAGAATCTTTCTCTTTCAATGAACTATTCATTTCCTTAACCCATTCTTTCCTGTCATATTTTTTTATCTTTTATAAGACCCTTTATATACTTTGGATTATAATCCTTCTTTGGATATATGCATTGCAAATATCTTTTATGAGTGTAAATTGGATGTATATAATTGTTTTAATATATCAAATTTAACATAATTTCTTTATGGACTTTGGTTTTTTTATCTTGTTTAGTAAACCCTTCTGTTCTCATCTATCCAAAATCACAAAGTGATTTCCCTCTAAATGTTGTAAAATTTTGCTCAGCATCTTTAGTTCTTTAACCCACCTTAACATACATACATGTGAAGTTGCAATCTTGTATTATCATTTTTTCATGTGGCTAATTCAATGTCTGAATATGTCATCTTCCCTCAGTGCTTTCTAATGTCACCAGTTATTTATCAAGTTTCCATAAATGCATGAATATTTTTCTGGACTTTCTATTCTGTTCCATTGGACTAGTTTCTAGCCCTGAACCAAATCTGCACTGCCTCAGTTACTGTTATTTTATGTTAAGCCTTAATAGTTCATATGGGAACTTCCTGAACCTTGCTCTTCAGATTGTATTGATAATTTCTTACCCTTTGCCCTTGCAAACGCATTTTAGAATTAACTTTTCAGGTTCCACAAAAAAGTTGTAGTAGATTTTATTAATAATTACATTAGTTCTATAGGTTAATTTACCATATTGATTCTCCCATCCAGGAACATGTATATTTGTTGATTTATGTCAGTTTACCCCCTTAGTGTTAATAGAAAAATTAACTGTGGGCCAAAAAGTGATGGCCCAAAGTCACATGGCCAATTAATAGCAACACCAGTGGTAGAAGAAAGGTCTTTTGACTCCTTAACACCTTGTACACTAAAAAGGCTTAATTATTTAGTCATTTAAAGAATACCTTGGACTCCTTGCAGCTACAGAACCCCTCACCATGAAAGAGAATTCAACTTCTCTAGTTTACTAGGCCCAATTTGTGTTTCAAGTCCTCAAAGTGTGATTAGAGTGCTTGAGAAAACAAAGTCCTGAAATTCCTTGCATTGACTCTCTCTGGAGTCTGTCTGAAATGCTAGGGTTAATCTTGAGGTCATTGAATTTCAAAGCATTCAGGTAAGCAACATTGAGGCCTATGTAATGACTCTTAGGCCTTGCTCTGTGACCACAGGCGTAGAGGAACTATCACTTGCTTTGCTGAATGAACACTAAAAGTCTAAAATAAGAAGAAATTGTCTAAGAATACACACACACACACAATCATAGTCCTTCAAAGGAAATAAAATTTTAAATGTTTTCCTAAAAGCAGCATATCAGGAAGATTGAGGCTTCTTCTAGATCGATAGTTATTCAGGAAACAAATACAGTTGCTTTGAAATCACCGAGTTGCCTCAAATTGGCATTTTAGCTACTAACTGCCATTGGGGAAAATGTTGTAGAAAAAAAAAAAAAAAAGAATCCAGAGGAGACAGAGGCACAGAAGATTCAGTCTTTAAACATAAAACAAAGAAACATCAGATGCTGTATTCAAGCAGTCATATACTATTCATGTTAATTGCAGTTCAACCTTCTTTAACTACTACAGTAGTCAGTTATCTGAAGGGGCAAAAAAAAAAAAAAAAAAAGGTGAGGAGAGGGGATGGGAAAAAAAAGTGAGATGCCTGCAATATCGCCTGGAGCCACTAGGGGTATCTTTGTACCATTTTTCATCCTGCACCGATTTGGAGTAGAAACCTGTATTAGGGTAAAAACAGGGTCCTCGGCATTTTTTTTTTTTTTCAAGGAGTGCACCCAGAATCCAAAAACGATTTTTTAAAAAAGAAAGAAAGAAAGAAAGAAACCAGAGTTTTTTTCAATCATCCGAACAGGGTTATGAAATTGTTCTTGTGGACATCAGCACCGGGAATTCATTTTTGAGGTCAATTTCCAATCGAGATAAATCTATTGGATTAGTAGGATTATCTGATTGCAACCGAAAGAAGTAACGTTGTTTGATCATTTGTATTTCTTTCCTGATGGTCGGATTTACATGGAGGTGGCTTTGGGTCCCCAGGATTCTGGATCGTGGTTGCATCTGGAGAGAAAAAAGGATCAATCGACACGTTTTGGAAGTGTCCGTGGGTGAATAAAAAAGGAGGGAGGGGGGGCAAAACTAGGGTTGCGGATGCTTAAAGGAAAAAAAAAAAAAAAAAAAAGAGAGAGAGAGAAAAGGAAGCGTCGTGAATCCTGAAACAAGAATTACTGGGTGCTCGAGATTTCAAAAAAGCGTCTAGAAACTGGTAAATACTTTGACCATTTCAGCTTGAATTTGAATTTGACGGCGAAGTGTTGCAGAAACGGTCTTCTTGAATCACTGCAAAGGGACCGGGGAAAGATGAGGGGTCTCCCTCTGTGGATTTATCTTGCTGAGGGTAAGTTTGTGGCTCTTTTATTGGGAGGGGGCTGACAGGGTTTTGTGCCACTGCGCGGAAGGTGATGCGGACGCGGTGCCTGTGAAACGGAAAGAGAAAGGGTAATGTAAAGCCACCTCGCGCATCCCCGGAGGATCGCTAGGGAGCTACCTAGATCGAGCTAAAAACCTTATTTTTGTGGCGTCGGTGGGGGAGCCAAGCAGCTCTCCAAGCTCTCAACTTTGCATTGAAAATCTCTCAGTTGGGAGATGCTTCCCAGATCCAGTGCTTTCTCCTAGCACTACTTTAAGGAGAGGAGGCGGCGGTGCCTTGGACAACCTGCATGTAGAGCGGAAAAGCCCAAGTAGAAATCGCTGGTGCTTCGGCCGCCGTTTCGGCGGCTGTCGTGGCCTCTAGGGGGATATTTTGGAGCGGGATTTGGCTGTTTTCATGTTGTCTCCTCCCCCACCCCTCTCTTCCTACCTCTTCCCGCTTCCCACTTCTCTCAGCCGGACACTAAAGGGTTACAGGGTCACTGCACCGTATAGAGACAGTAGAAGTGGGTGACTGGCCACACATGTTATCTTGTAATTCGCTTGCAGGACTTTCCATAATACAAGTCCGAGGTAACTTTCTTCGAGTTGGAGCAGCCCAGGAAAACGTTGCAGGCTTTTTGCCGAGGGCCCAGGCTAGCGAGTGCACCAGGCAGAGGGCTGCGTTTCTGATGCATCCCTGACCTGCCTGCCTCGCCACTTACTGGCTTTTCTTTCCAACTGAGCGGTGAGCGCGCGTTCCCAGACATTTTCTTGCAGCTTAATTCAGGGATTTTTTTCTTTTTTAAAAGACTTTTGTAGCTCCCAAGAAAAACTCATCTTTATTTGCAGAAGGAAATCAATTTCAGCAGCTATAATTAATCACTCAAATGAGTGAATATGAATTGACTCAGGCAACTAAAAGTTGCTTTGGAACCCAGAAAAGCATATTATTCTGAACTCATTTTGGAGTCCACGTAGCTTCAGAACAGTTGCATACAAAGAACTGATTTATTTGAGGGATGTATATAAATGTGTTCAGTAGGCTAACGAATCTGAGACTTCAACATCACAATTTTAGTTGGCTTTCTTTTTTAACTTAACGCCAATTCGTTTAATTTTAAACTTTTAGACATTCGAATGCCTTGTAATAAAGTGGAGATAGATAAAAGATAAAACATACATTTTGTACGATTTAATCTTTAGAAGAAAAGTGTTACCTTTTTTCAGGGATTTCTGGTTTACAGATTATGAAGTGTATGCAGATACCTTTGTGGTTTTACCACTGAAGTCTGTTATGTGTGAACTCATCAACAGGCAACTCTTCAATGTCATCTGAAGCACACTCATTCTCTAGTCCTTTTTTCAGGAATTCCAGTTACATGCGACATTCTGGCTATTGAAAGATTAGTCTCACCAGACTTTCTCCCTGGATTGATGTGTGTATGTGTGCATCTGAAATCTAATTTTGAAGCATGCATGTGAGATTTGGTTTTTAAAGATGAAATAGCAAAATATAAAACTTTTGTCTCCCAGGAATTCTAAAGTAGAAAAGGTAGATATTTCCTATTTCAGTAGGCATCGTGTAAGATTATTTAGAGATTATAGAAATAATAATAAATAGTTTCTACAAACCCAATTGTTAGTTTTAAGGAGATATCGGAGAAGCTAGGTTAGTCTCTTTTTACTCTGCTGTAAGTCACGTGGTTCTTGTGCAGGCTGAAAGCAGAAGAATGGACGTTCTGTGTACTGGCACAGTCTAGCCACTGATCCTAGTCACACTGTCTAATAGTTTTTAAAATATTTTTCAAAGTTTAAACAGATTTTTAAAAGACAGCTAGCAAATAACTTTAAGTGGTAATAGCAAATAAGTAATGACGGTGAGTGGTAAGTGGGTTGGAATTTCTCTTTTTAAGCTAATAGAGAATATAGCTGTTGATATAAAAATAGATGGATAATGTGAAACATGAAAAAGAAGGTCCTTTTCAAAGTTGATTTGCATATTCCAAAACCATTAAATCAGTAGTCATTGCTTGTGCCACAGTGTTAAAATGGAAGACTTAACTTAATGTGCCTTTGTAGTGCCTGGAAAATGTGTTTCTGTCAGAATAAACAATCCTTTCTACTCCCTTGTTATGTTCTCTTTTGTCAGTTAAAATGAAAAGGGAGAACGTGAACTACTCTTTGTTATAATCTACTTGGAGGGGCTGTATCCTTTGTTTCTACAAGCAGTACATACACAAAACTTTGGTAAACATTGTAGGTAGTAAATCCACTTTGGAAAACCAATAACAATGGAAATAAGTATATACAAAATACACACCAAATTTTTTTTTAAAGTTGTGGCCAGTAAACAAAGAGCAAGGTACCCAGTTAGATAAATGCTCTCCCTAATAGAGCGGATTGTTCTAAGAACTATTGAAAAACCTGAGGAGTTCACTGAGAAAATTATTTACATTTAGCTCTATCTTACCTGATACATAGTTTTGGTCATAATTATTAAAAAGAACATGGTAGACTTGATGAGTTGTGAATATTCTATCAGAGTAACACAAAATGTGGTAGTTTGGAGTGAAGAGATGGAAGCTCTCAATTAGCCCTGGAAATTTGCAAGCACAGTTTCTGATATAAGTGACAAGAAATAACACTGGATTCCCCTAAGCTTATCACTGTGGAAAAACTGATGTGTCTTTCACTGGAGTTTTGCTTGACAGCTGCACCTCTCCCTCAAAAACCTTTTATGTGTTGTAACTGGCCTAACATTCACGAAAAGCTAACACATTTGCTATAGATTCTTTCTATGACTTTGAGATGATTAACTACATTAAATATTATTTTACATTAAAAAGAAGTTAGCAACACACTCTTAATTAGAAACAAAGTGATAAGGGCCATTATTTTTAAATGACTTGTTGAAATTTAACACATGACACTTCCAAGTGCAAATCTTCCAACTCTTTTGCTTTATTGAGAAATAAAAAAGAACAAAAATCAACTTTCAATTAATTTAAAATTCAAGTTTTTGACGTATTAAATTTGCCAACCATTGAAAAATATCAAATTTGTGAACACTCATGATGAATCTAAGGTTTTTATTGCTTTTTAAGAGATAATTTAAAACATCATGAGGTAGCTAACCATATAATCCTGTGGGATAGCAACATTCCCAACTGTTTCTAAGAAAAATGATTCCTTAATAGTAACACATTTGCTTGGTCACTTTTGTTCTATTATTAATGAAATAATGTTGATAACATCAAACATTACTATGTTGGTATAAAATGATCTGAATAATCTCTGCCTTCAGGAGTCATCCCCCAAACAAAGTAAAATCAAACAAACAAAAAACCCCACAGCCATTTGGTAGCTAACCTGTGTGATAGAGAATGACTGTCAACTCAAAGCTTAAGTGAAGTCAGGGAAAACTAGTGAATCATTCCAGGCATTTGAAATTATTAGACATTAAACTTTTGGGGCATTTTTATATGAATTCTTTTTATAACAGTCAGTATAATCTCTTCTGTGCCTATTTCTGTTACATGTAAGAGAAATTCTAGTCAATGGCAAAACGCTTTACTGCTGCCATTACTGCAGACTTTATAGGTCAGAGATGTGTCAGCATGTTAGCTTTAGCAGTAATGCCTCTTTTGTGTGAAACCTTATGGGCCTTGCAGGCACTCTCTCATCCTGACACTCATAAAACGTTCAAGTCCCCATATTTATTATTTAATTTTCTTCCTATATATAGCAACACAGCACTTCAATATATGAATGTGTAGTCAAAAAAATGACAGGCAATTGTGAGTGGGACTAATGAGTTTTAATAATACACATATTAGGGACTGCTAAAGGAAGTTTAATTAAGAAAAACAAGTTGAGCATGAAATTCATTTTGGAACAAATGCAAGTTAGGTTACTACTACAGATGTGAATTCAAAAACCACAGTGATATATCACAGGAAATTAAGTTCCAGCCTGAGACTAGACCTACCTAATGCAGTTGACATCTTAGGACTTAGCTTTAAGTGGACAAACTTTGATTTAACTTATGAAACAGAAGAATATGTACTTTTTTTACTTTCTCCTGGTTTGTATAGAAATTTTACTTTAGTATTTTCACTGTGTATCCAGCCACACTTTATGTACATGATATTAGTTCGCTTGTGACAGGCCATACAGTAACTTTTTCTTTTTCTGTGGCCTACTTTTCTAATGCTACATATGCCTACAATTAGAGCTACCTGCTGAGAACCATGCTATCTCTTTGGAGGTGCTATAGTTGGTGCTTCATTAATAGAACTGCATAGTCATCAACTTTCCTCTACCTATAATTCTGTTTGTGTTTTGCATAATTTAGAAAATAGATAGACTAATGTGTTTGCTTCCTTACTTTTATTTATTTATTTATTTGGGAGTGGCAGTGTGTGCAGAGCAAAAGCAGAAGTTGGAGAGGAGATTGAATTTTGGGCAAATATTTTGTTAGAATATGATTTTCTTACATTTTGCCTGTATTGAAATAACACAGACACTTTCTAAAAAGAGTAAATAATCAGGCAATGATATGAAAGTCTTTTTGTATATATATAGTTCTCAACAACTGCCTATTGGGAAACATCCAACTGATATACTGTTTTTTATACCAAAGTTTGTCATCAGTTTTGTGTAACCATAATGATTCTTTTTTCTTCCCTGACACACCCGATGAATCGTGGATCTACAGGAGAAGAAAAGAGGTTACTTGTAATGTTTGAAAATGAATTGAACATTGTCGGTGCTTTCTAAAAAATAGTCACAATGAATACTCTCATATTGTCATATGGAATACTTTCTATGCTTGGAAGATCAGCAAGTTCAAACATGTAATCAAGTAATATTGATTTGATAAAATCCAAATTGAGATTATCATTGATATAAGTTTTTTCCATATGACAACCACCACTTCCATGACAGAACTGACCAGAAATAGTGATTACGGCATAGAACATTGAC